GATATGCTATGATATGGCATGCTGTGATATGCTGCGCTATGCTATGCTATGCTGGGCTATGCTATGATATGCAATGCTGCGCTATGCTATGCTACGCTATGCTGTGCTCTGCTATGCTAAAGCTCAGCGAAGCTATGATGAAGGTAAGCTAAGCTAAGATACACCTGAGCTAAGATGAAGCTAAGCTAAGCTAAGATGAAATAAGCTAAGCTAAGATGAGATAAGCGACCTAAGCTAAGGGGACGTAACTGGGGGAACCGCGGGGCGGATACTGGGGGAACCGCCCGGGGCGCTTTCCACTGCCCGGCCCCTCTAAGCCCAGAGAGTAAGAACCCTTCTAGGCAGAGCCTAGGTAGGGAAAAAGGCGAGAAGGCCAAAAACCTGCTAACTTTAATGGAAAATCAATGATTGTTGCCTCTTGGGGCTCTCTTGGGACGCCTCGTGGAACACTCTTGTGACGACTAGGAGGCTTCCTTTGGCTGTGTTGAGGCCACCTTGGGCGTATTGGAGCACTCTTGGGTCTTCTCAGAGGCATCTTCGGCTCTCTTGGGCGCTTTTGGGCCCATGTTTGGCCGACTGCGGTGACTGCGGTACCAGAAGGCGCACGTGACACGCCCGGGGAACCCCCGGAAATCTTAGGGAATCCTCGGGAATCCCAGGGAATCCTTGTGAAACCGGTGACACGTGCCTTTAAGACCCAAGCCTCTGAATTCCGCAGGGCTGGATGAGCCCTGGGGCACTCCACTAAGTGCTGAAGGCACGGTGGCAGATAGATATACGCGTGTACACACACGTACATACATACATACATACATACATACATACATACATACATACATACATACATACATACATACATACATACATACATACATATATATATATATATATATGTGTCTACATCTACATAGTTAATTATGTATACACACATATACACAGATAGACATACATGAAGACACATACGATGGCCTGAGTAACCCACCGTCGGGATGACGAAACGAGCACGCAGCTTCCGATCCGTCAGTTTGAGCGAAGCGCTCAGCTAGGGAGAGAGTGATGGGAATCGCCAGCCCAGCCCCCCAGCCCAGCACGCCCCTGCTTCGGCCGTGTTGATGACGCTGCAAGAGGACTTCCAGGGCAACTCGCTACGGCCCACGAGGGCGCCATGAGGCCACCCGGAAAGCTTCGTGGGCGCTACAGGAAGCGTTCGGGGCGGCCGAGCAGACCCCCGATGCGGCCCAGGATGTCACCAAAGCGGCCCAAGGGGGGCTGTAAGACCTGCGGGGGGGTTCCCAAGAGGCGAAATTCGTGACACCTCTTTGAGTGCTGCGTGTTGTTATTCGTTCTGGGCGTCTCCGAGGACCCCAGAGGCCTCCAAGAGCGCCCACGAGGTCCACAGGAGCCCCCGAGAGGGCCCAAGATGCCGCAACTGTTGCCTAGGATGGCCACCAAGACGGCCCCAAGACAGCCACCCTTCAAGGTCGGCGTTTGCAGAACGAACCTCCCATTAATGTGCTGTCTGTCCGCTCTGCGACCGCCTGCACACCCCCTGCACGTGCTGTCTGATTGGCGCGGGCCTTCAAGGCTCTGCATGTGCTCTATGCGGGGGGCCCTTGCCTGCCAGGGGGTCGCGCCCATGTGCCATCCGTCTCGTGCGCCACCCTCAGCCCTGCCTTCCTGTGCCCCTCTGACCCCTCCCCCCCCGCCCTCCCCCTTGGCAAAGGGGATATTCTAGGGCGTCTCAAGGCCGTCTCGCGCGACCCCAGGAATACCCCAAGTTGTGCCAAGGAGGCTTCGGAGGGCCTCAAGGATCAAATAGATGTCGGTGGTGCGAAGATAATGTTGACTATGATGGTGGCGAGTGCGATGATGATGACGATGGCAAGGAGGTGTGTTCAGGCCATTCTGGACCATCTTGGAACTTCTGTTGCCATGTACGTGGAGCCTCCAACTCAGGTCCCTCATCTATGTGGCGGGCCATCCAGCACCAGCCCCCCGCGCGCAAGATTGCAAGCAGCACGACGGCCACGGTGACGCAGGTCAAAACGCCATGGGGCTACCTCGCTTGAGCCCTGCGCGCGCTTTCCGTCCCGGTGCTGGCCCCAGGCCCAACGCGCCACTTGCCTCTGCCGGGCCCAGCGGATTTCGAAAGGGTGTACCCGCTTATCCGCAAGTACGCAAAGGAGCTCGGCAAGCGCGTGGAGGTGCTGGGCGACCTGCAGGGCCCCAAGTTCCGCGTCGGCGAGCTCGCGGGCGACCCGGTAGACCTGGTGAACGGCGACATCCTCGAGTTTGGGATTTGCAAGGACCGGGCACTGAGTCAGATGCTCGTCTCGCGGACCCTCCTGGGGGCCACGGCAGAATTGCTGGACTCAAGTTCGACCCAAGTTCGACCCAAGTTCGTCTCAAGTTCGACTCAGGTCGACGGACGTTCGACGCAGCATCGACGCATGAGTGGAGCGAGTGGCTCCAGAAAGGTCCCCAGAACGAGCATCCAAGTTGATCGAACGCCCACCCAGACGCGTCTCTCGAGGAATTCTGCGCCGGTTCACTCGACACGCACCCCCGTAGTGTACCAGTGTATTCTCCTTCTTGTTTCGCTAATCGACGTGTGTTTTCGACGTGTGTTTTACCCGATACCATTTGTCGTGTTTGGACATCGATGAGCTAGTCCACCCCGGTGGTTTCGGAATGTTGTGCCGCGCGCACCCGCGGAGCCCCGCATTTCTCCCGAAAGGGCGTTTCGCTAAGGGGGGCCTTGCCAATCCTCGACAGGATGATGGCGACACTATCAGGCCTGGTCGAATCACCATGAAGCCCACCCTTGAACAGACCGCTCTGATCAAGGCGTGCCAGGCTGGCACCACGCTCCTGATAGAGGACGGCATAATGGAGGTCAAGGTCACGGAGAAGGTGTCCGACACCGAGCTAAAGATCCAAGTGACACGTGGCGGAAAGTTGAAGGCCAGAAAAGGCGTGAACGTGCCCGATGTCGAGATCGATTGCGCCGCGCTCACGGAGAAGGACGTCGAGGACGCAGAGTACCTTCTCAAGCTGGACCCGCCGTGCGAGTACATCTGTGTCTCCTTCGCCCAGAAAGGACAGGACCTCCAGGAGCTCATCGACATCATGGACCGGCTCGGCGTGCCGAAGGAGAAGAGGCCCAAGATCTGCCCGAAGATCGAGAAGCCGCAGGCGCTGAGCAACATCGAAGGCATCATCGAGAAGTCGCAGGCGTTGATGGTCGCCCGAGGCGACCTCGGCGTGGAGCTGGGTCTCTACAGGGTGCCTTTTGCGCAGAAGCTGCTCATCGCCCGAGCCAAGCAGTGCGGCCTGTTTGTCATCACGGCGACCCAGATGGTCGAGAGCATGATTGAGAATCCGGTGCCCACTCGTGCCGAAGTGTCAGACCTCTGCAACGCTGTCTGGGACGGCACGGATGCCGTCATGCTCAGCGGCGAGGCAGCGAGTGGCAAGTACCCACTCGAGTCCGTGATGGCGGAAGCCTCCGCCGTGCGACAGGCAGAGTGTGTCAAGCGCAAACTCAAGCGTGCTTGCCCCATGGTGGAGGCGGCGATCACGGCGCCGCCGAAGTTGCACGTCAATATGGGCAACAAGAAGCAGGAGACAGACGATGCTTTGAGGAGGACGAAGGTGGTGGCGAGCATGGGCCCTGCGTCCTGGAGCGAGGAGATGATCCCCAAGATGATCGAGGCCGGCACGGACATCTTCCGCCTGAACTGCTCGCACCGCCGCGGCGGCGATTTCGAGAGGGTCTACCCTCTGATCCGGAAGTACGCCAAGGAGCTGGGCAGGAAGGTCGAGGTACTCGGCGACTTGCAGGGCCCTAAGTTCCGCGTCGGGGAACTCGCGGGCGACCCAGTGCCACTGGTGGAGGGTGAGATTGTGGAATTTGGCATCTGATGGCCTTCGGCCCATCCCGCCACCGCGGCTGGGTCGTGGGCGCAAGGCCTCATCGATGCATCTTGGGGGCCTCTTGTAGGGCTCTGCGGGAGCCTCGACGGGTCCTCTTTGGAAACTCCTTGTGGGTTCCGAGGGGCTTCTGGGGGCCCTAAGAGCTCCAATCGGGAGTTCGAGTTTCCCCTCGTGGGCCCCTTTTGGGGGCCTCTTTGGCCTCTCCTGGGGGCTCGGTGACTTTCCCTGACGCGTATTCGGGGCCGTCTTGAACGCTCATGTGGCCGAAGAGGCGAGCATGCAAAAACAGTGTAAACACCAAAGGTGTCTCAATGGTGCTGGCCTCGGCCCAAGAGGCCCCCCAAGAGAGCCCCAGGACGCTCCCTCGTGGACACCTTAAGTAAGACACGTGGGAAGCGCGACCGATGTTCTGGAGAGGTCGCGCGGTGATTGCCCAGAGAGCCCGAGAGCAGCCGGAAAAAACCCGGGAGTTTGGCGCCCGCGCCAGAGAAGCCAAAGGGATTCGAGGGCATTGCATCTCTCAGCGAGCGAAGAACGGTGTAACATAAATTTTCTGCCGTCGGAGACACCTGCCCTTGGGCGGCTGGAAAGTTTATACCCCTACGGTGCCACCGTAAGGGTATAGACTTTCCCGCCGCCCTGGGACAGGCGCCCCCGACAGCGAAAACAATTATTTTACACCGTTCTTCGCCCGTTAAATCTCGTGTTTCGGGGCACGGTGGCGGATATGCAAGGACGATGACGACAACATCAGGCCCGGAAGGATTACCCTGAAGTCGACCACTGAGCAGGACGCGCTGCTGCGCGCGTGCAAGCCAGGCGTCGACCTGCTGATCGAGGACGGCTTGATGAAGGTCAACGTGGTAGAGAAGCTGTCCGACAAGGAGTTGAAGGTGAAGGTGGTGCGTGGCGGCACGCTGAAGGCGAGGAAGGGCGTGAACGTGCCAGATGTGGAGATCGATTGCGCGGCTCTGACCGTGAAGGACATCGAGGATGCCGAGTTCCTGCTCCAGCTGGACCCGCCGTGCGAGTACATCTGCGTGTCGTTCGCGCAGAAGGCGCAGGACTTGCAAGAGCTTATCGACATCATGGACCGCATGAAGGTGCCGCCCGAGAGGCGGCCCAAGATCTGCCCGAAGATCGAGAAGCCGCAGGCGCTCACGAACATCGACGGCATCATCGCCAAGTCGCAGGCGCTCATGGTGGCGCGCGGCGACCTGGGCGTGGAGCTGGGGGTCGAGCGCGTCCCCTTTGCACAGAAGCTGATGATCAAGAAGGCGAAGGAGGCTGGTCTCTTCGTCATCACCGCCACGCAGATGGTCGAGAGCATGATCGAGGCGCCTGTCCCAACGCGGGCAGAAGTCGCCGACCTGCAGAACGCCGTCTGGGACGGCACCGACGCCGTGATGCTCAGCGGAGAGGCGGCGTCCGGCAAGTTTCCGGTCGAGTCGGTGAAGGCCGAGGCGGCGGCGGTCCTCGAGGCAGAGTCGGTCCAGGATTTGATCATGCCGCGCCTCCCAGACGACTTCTCCGTTGAAGAGGGCAACAAGCCGCAGGAGATGGACGACAGCAAGCGCAAGACGAAGGTGGTGGCGAGCCTGGGCCCTGCGTCCTGGAGCGAGGAGATGATCCCCAAGATGATCGAGGCCGGCACCGACATCTTCCGCCTGAACTGCTCGCACCGCCGCGGCGGCGATTTCGAGAGGGTCTACCCTCTGATCCGGAAGTACGCCAAGGAGCTGGGCAGGAAGGTCGAAGTGCTGGGGGACTTGCAGGGTCCTAAGTTCCGCGTGGCGGAGCTCGCGGGCGACCCAGTGCCACTGAACAATGGCGAGGTGGTGGAGTTTGGGATCTGCGTCTCGGAGGAGGACGCCATCCGGCCTGGCCGCATCACCATGAAGCCGACAGCGGAGCAGAAGGCTCTGGTTAAAGGCTGCCAGGTGGGCACCGTGCTCCTGATCGAGGACGGCCTCATGGAGGTGCGAGTTGAGGAGAAGCTCTCCGAAACAGAGCTGAAGGTCAAGATCGTCCGCGGAGGGATGCTGAAGGCGAGGAAGGGCGTGAACGTGCCAGATATCGAGATTGATTGCCCCGCCCTCACAGAGAAAGACATCGAGGATGCCGAGTTCCTGCTCCAGCTGGACCCGCCGTGCGAGTACATCTGCGTGTCGTTTGCGCAGAAGGCGCAGGACTTGCAAGAGCTTATCGACATCATGGACCGCATGAAGGTGCCGCCCGAGAGGCGGCCCAAGATCTGCCCGAAGATCGAGAAGCCGCAGGCGCTCACGAACATCGACGGCATCATCGCCAAGTCGCAGGCGCTCATGGTGGCGCGCGGCGACCTGGGCGTGGAGCTGGGCGTGTACCGCGTCCCCTTTGCACAGAAGCTGCTCATACAGAAGGCCAAGCAGTCTGGTCTCTTCGTCATTACCGCAACGCAGATGGTGGAGAGCATGATCAGCGCGCCTGTGCCAACGCGCGCGGAGGTGGCAGACCTCTGCAACGCCGTCTGGGACGGCACCGACGCGGTCATGCTGAGCGGGGAGGCCGCCAGCGGCAAGTACCCCCTCGAGTCTGTGCGCGCCGAGGCTTCGGCCGTGCGCGAGGCAGAGTCGGTGGCGCACCGCATCCTGCCGGCCACGCCGCTGGTGGTCTGAGGGCGCTTTGGGGCAGCTTTGCAGGTCTCGCGACGCGCTGACGCGGCGGCGACCCTGGCGCGGGCGTTCAAGGCTGAGCGCTGCCAGCGGCCCAGCGTCGGCCGAACTCTAACGATCTGCGCAGTCTGGAAGCCGCGATCGTTCGACATGAATGATTCACGCGGTGTCAGAATCCAGCGCCGGCGTCATCGCCACGTTGACCTGCCACATTCTCGTCCCAGCACTTGCCGACTTTTAGGGGCCCCTTTGGGTCTTCGGCCGGGCAGCAGCGGGCTACACGTAAGATCGACCCTTCGCGCCAAAGTGGCCAGGAGAAAGAGGACAAAGAAGGAGGAGGGGGAGGAGAAGGAAGAGGAGGAGGAGGATCAGGAGGACGAGGAGGAGGACGAGGAGGAGGAGCAGGAGGACGAGGAGGAGGAGGAAGAGGAGGAGCAGGAGGAAGAGGAGGAGGAGGAGGACGAGGAGGAGGAGGAGGAGGAGGAGGAGGAAGAAGGAGGAAGAGGAGGGATACTCGGGTAGAGGAGGAGGTAGGTAGGATGAGGAGGGGAGGAGGAGGAGGAGCAGAGGAGGAGCAGAGGAGCAGGAGGACGAGGAAGGCGGAAGAGGAGGGCAGGAGAAGAGGAGGAGGAGGAGGAGGAGGAGGGGAGGGCGAGGAGGACGAGGAGGAAGAAGAGGAGGAGGAGGAGAACTCGGGGGAGGAGAAAGGGAAGGAGGAGGAGGAGTGAGGAGAGGAGGAGGAGGAGCAGAGGAGGAGGAGGAGGAGGAGCAGGAGAAAAAAGGCGGAGAGCAGGAGGAGGAGGAGGAGGACGGGGACGGAGGAGGGGGGAGGAGAAGGAGGGGGAGGAGAAAGGGAATTTGGGAGGAGGAGAGGAGGAGGGATGGAGAGGAGGAGGAGGAGGAGTGGGAGGCGGAGGGGAGGATGAGCAGGAGGAGGAGGAGGCGGAGAGGAGGAAGAGGAGGAGGAGGAGGAGGAGGAGGAGGAGGAGGAGGAGGAGAAAGAGGAGGAGCAAGGAGGAGGGAGGAGGAGGAGGAGAAAGAGGAGGCAGTAGGAGGCAGGAGGAGGAGGAGGAGGAGGAGGAGGAGGAGGAGAGGAGGAGGAGGAGGAGGAGGAGAGGAGGGGTGAGGAGAGGAGTGGGAGGGGCGGAGGAGGAGGAGGAGGAGGAGAGGAGGAGGAGGAGGAGGAGGAGGAGGAGGAGGAGGGGGAGGAGGAGGTGGAGAGGAGGAGAAGGAGGAGGAGACGAGGAGGGAGGGGGCGGAGGAGGAGGACGAAGGAGGACGAGGAGGAGGAAGGAGGAGCAGGAGGGAAGAGGAGGAGGAGGAGGAGGAGGAGGAGGAGGAGGAGGAGGGAGAGGAGGAGGAGGAGGAGGAGGAGGAGAGGAGGAGTAGGAGGAGGAGTGAGGAGGAGGAGAGAAAGAGGAGAGGGGGAGGAGGAGGAGGAGGGGGAGGAGGAGGAGGGGGAGGAGGAGGAGGAGGAGGAGGCGGAGGAGGAGGAGGTAGAGGAGGCGGAGGAGGAGGAGGAGGAGAGATGAGAAGTGGAGCAGCCACGCCCAGGCACGCAGGCCGCTGCTGTCGCGCCGCCTGCAACGACCGGCAGCCCGCGCGGCACGGCCCACTCTTGCCCCAGGGGCCACTCTGTTGCGCACGGGCCAGGAAGCAGTCGTACAGTGGAGGCGCATGCCAAGAAACACCCTGGTTGTCTTCAGGGTGCCCTGGGTTTCTGGGGTCTCGATGGCTTTGCTATGGATAGCGTGACGTGCCCACGCCAACAATCAGTGGACGCCCTGGGGTCTCAGTGCTGGCTTTCTGGTGGAAGGTTTCTTGTGTCGAGCCCCACTGTGTTTGCTGCCTCCCCCGCGTGGCGACTGCCGCAGGGGCCGCGGCGGCGTGCAGACGTCCTGGGCAGGGCCGTCTCCCGCCGGGGCCCGAGGCCACGGATGGGGCAATGGCAGCGGCCGGCGCCTCCATAGCGAGGCGGCCGGGCATTCCTTTTTCTCGGAGGCCCGCGCGGATTTCTCGCATCGGCGTTGGCGGCGGCCTTTAGCTTGTCGCTCCCGGCGGCGCCCCGCGTCGGTGCCTCGGGGGGAGGGCCGGGCGAGAGAACGGCGGCTTCCCCGGCGTTTCTCTCGGCCCTCCTGCGGGCCCCACGGAGGCTTCTCGCCGCCACGGCTGGGGCCGCCTCGGAAGAGGGCTCGGGATCAATTGAGGGGGGCGTGGATCAGCGACGGGTCCCGTTTCCGTGGGAAATCGCGGATGTCCGCTGCCGAGCGAGGCGGCACCTGCCGCACTTTGGGGAGGGCCCCCCCCCCCCCGATCCATGGATTTGGCGACCGCGCGCCAGATCCATGGATCGCTAGTCCATGTCTGCGCGCCCCCCGTTCCTGCGGGCCCCACGGAGGCTTCTCGTCGCCACGGCTCGGGCCGCCTCGAAGGAGGGCTCGGGATGGACCCCCGGGAGGGGTCTGGGGGCCGATCTTGCGAGCGGCTGTGGGCCGCGTGGAGCTGCAGCATCCGCTGTCTCGCCCGGCCCTCCTCCGGCCATGGCCGAGAGGACGTTTCTCCCTCTGGTTTCACAGGTGTTCGGTGTTCGAGCATGGGCCCCTTGTTAAACGTGCTCTTGAGTGGGGCCTGTCCCTCTACAGGAGGAATGTTCTCAAGAGGGAAAGACACAATTAATCGTCGATTCCCCGGAAAAGATGAGAAAATATGGGAGGTGGGGGGAAGACAGAAACCCAGAAAATATGGGGAATCCTGTTATTTGTGTGTATTTATTTGTATGTCCCAGGGCCCCTTCATATTCAGAAATAGTAAAACATAGTCTGGGGACAATTGTTTAAACTATTGTTTGCTATTTGGGAGTATTGTTTGACTATTTTTTATGTTTCGTCCAAAATCCGCCTGCAGGGGGACACGCCCGACCTAAACGCACTCTTGAAGAGGAAGGTCTGCATCAGCATAAGCTTTCGGAAGCTCGCTCGAGCTCCTGGGATCGGTGCTGGGGCCCCCGTGTTTCAGCGCCTTCGGCGCCGCCCCCCTGGCGCCCCCCGCATGCGAGGAAGGGTGGCTCCTGCGCCGATCCAAGCATCCCGCGCGGACCTGCCTGTTTTAAGTCGGGCACGTCCCTCTACAGGAGGAAAATTCAAAAATGGTAAAAAAAAAAAAAAAAAAAAAAAAAAAAACAACAACAAAAAAAAAAATGTCTGCGTACGAATGTTGGACGACTTTTGACCATTTTGGGATATGTTTGTGACTATCTTGTGTTTTTCGTCAAAAAAAACCTGTAGGAGGACACGCCCGACCTCACGGTTGATTCTCCTTCATCCTCCTCTTCTAGACTCGTTTAGCTCTCGCGCGGGAGGCCGTTAGAGATGCTGGCGATTACCACCAAGGGCCGCCGATTGTCCTCGACGGACCGTCGAGTGCCGACGAGAGACCGCCGGCCTCCGCCGGGGGACGGGCCGGCCACGGCCAGGTCGCCGGCGAGGGCGCGAAGGCAGCCGCGCTCCGCACATCGCGGCGTGGACAGGACAGCCGCCCTTCGGTCCGCGAGGGTCCCCGGGGCCCGAAATTCGGCATCGCTCAACCGATCCCCATCCCCATCCCCTCCTCCTCCTCCTCCTCCTCCTCCTCCTCCTCCTTTTCCTCCTCCTCCTCCTCCTCGTCCTCCTCCTCCTCCTCCTCCTGCTCCTCCTCTTTGAGACCCCCACCAAATTACCACCCCAGGTGGGGACACGCCCCGAGGAGCCCGAAGAGAGCGGCCCACCTCCCCATCCAGGGGGGCCAAAGCGGCCAGCGGGGCCCGGGCCGCGCCGCCGGGGACGGGGGATCCGTCAAGAGCGCTGCTCAGGAGTGGGGGCGAGCCCGCCGGGCGTGCCGAGGGCGCGGCGCCTTGGGTGCCTTTCCCCCTTCCTCCTTTCTTTCTGTAGTTCCGCGGGCAGAGCAAAGGAGTACCAGAGGGGGTGAAAAAAGACGCGCTCCTCCTCCTTCCTCGCTCGTCGCCTCCTCCTCTCCTCTCCTACCACCGCCTCCTCCTCCTCTCCTACTCATCCCCCCATCCTCCTCTCCTCCTCCTCCTCCTTACTCCTCCTCATCCTCCTCCTCCTCTCCTCATCCTCCTCCTCCTCCCCAGGGGGGGGGGGGGGGGGGGCCCGGGGGGGGGGGGGCGGGGGCCCGTGGTCGAACGGCGCGACGGGCGGGCCACCTCGGCGGGCGGGCGCGGCTCGGCAGGCGCTCGCGGAAGCTCCGCGCGGCGGTCTGCTCCCGCTTCCGCGCCTCCCGGCCGGCGGCCGCCCGTGG